ATATGAGTCACCTCTTTAGATCTTCTAGTGGTGGAAATGTGAAACTCCAATTTTGTCAGAAAGAAATGGAAGTGCTCAAGATACATGCCGACCTCCTTAAAAATCAAAGAGTTTTAGGGGCACCTGGGTGGCTCAGTTGGTAGAGCGTGCAACTCTTCATCTGGGGTTGTAAGTTTAAGCCCTATGTTGCTTGTACAGATTACTTAAAAAATAAAATCTTAAAAAAAATCAAAGAGTTTTAGAGTTGAAAAGGGCCTCAGAAATCAACTTTTACAGGCCTAGGCTCAAAAAAGCTAGATTTGTGCAGAATTCTCTGGATATTACTGATTCGAAATCTACTGTGTTAAAGTAGAGAAATATATGACGATAAATAGTAAATATATAAAATACCTTTGGTTAGAGGATCTGTAAAGGAATAATTATATACATAGTTCCATTTAACTAAGTTAATGGAAACAAAATATATTAAATTGATGGCTCTTAAAGACTATGTTCCTGTCAACTGTTTCCCCCACTGTCCCATCCATGCAGTCTTTATATATTTCCTGACTAGAAACAGACTAGGATAGTATATATCAATACAAGGGGGAACATACTCTGTAAAAATGTAAGAGGTCATTGGAGAATCCAAAAGGATGAATCCTCAAAAAAAGGATTAATTTTATATAATATGAGGAAGGTCTGAAAGAAGCCAGAGTGTTCAAAACCTGGAGCTTTATAAATGTATGTGATTTTGAGTTTAGCACCATCTATTTCATTTAGTATTTTACTCTGCACTATGCTGTGAGTATTAAGGGGAGTATGAGTAAGATGCAGCTCTTCCCCCCACAAGAGTCTACTGAGAAGGGGAGACAGGATGCAAATCACTGCCAACAAAGCAAAAATGACATAACAGAAATATGCAAATAATGTTACAGAAGAAGATGAAGAATAACTATGTCTTCTTACTGGGGATGGATGGGGAAGAATTCAGAGATTCCTTCAACAGTATGGATAAACATCAAAATCAAAATAAACTACAGTAAAATGTGACTTATATAGGTCTCTCATCTTTTCTATAAAATAGTTCACAGAAATTAGATGAAAAGTTAAATAAATATAAGAAGAAAACATGAGAACCATTTAAAAAATTTATTATTATTAATCTGCAAGTAGCAAAAAAAAAAAAAAAAAAAACCCCAAATCCCAACCAACCAGTCAAGATTGATAATCAGCCTCAAGCTAACCTTAAAACTATATTTGAATGGACCTCCACCTTTGTTAATTAAAAAAACAGAACAAAACAAAACAAAACCCAAACAAAACTTTCAAGGTTGGAACTGGAAGAATAATTTCTTCATAGAAAAGGGCTTTGAACCACAGTCCTGAACTGGAATTTCTTGTTGACTATACTGCTTCCATAACCTTGCTTGGGATGTGGGAGGGGGTTAACCCTTTAACACTGGTCCAACTGTGGACTTTTTCTTGATTCCTCATATGGCACAGCTGAGACAAAACTGAGACGTTTAACAATATTTGAGTAAAAGGCTAAAAGATGCAGAAAAGAATAAAATAAAGAATAAAATAAAATAAAATAAAAAGAATAAAAGATGCAAAAATAAAATAAAATAAAATACTACTTTTTTATTTTCAGTTTATAATCAAATAACATGTCCCTTTTTTATCATTCTTGGTCACTTGCTTCCTCCCAAATCTTCAGCCACCACCTCAAAAGAGTCTCTCTCTCTCCTAGAGACCCAGAGAACTATGTGTCAAAAGAGAGAGCCACTACACTCACTACCAAATCTCCAAGGCCACTTTCCTGGGTCTCTGTTCCCTGCTAAAGTCCTGCCTCTTCCCAGAGTGACTGATGCCAGAGATATTAAACTTTTCGAAGCTGTGTCATCATTCTTCCAGACCTCAAAAATAAATAAACTGATCCCAATAAGACTTAACACTCATGTGACATGGAGGTGGGGTAGGTAGGTGGGAAATCACTCCTTAAATTACTTCTCTCTTATAACAGTAAAAACCCTGTATCAGTGATAATCCAATTCAGCTTTTGTAATACAGTGGGCTTCTAATTATCAAGACAAAATTCAATTCAAAACAATTTTTAAAACCACGAATAGTATTTTAGGCAGAAGAAAATATTCACAAAAATCAGCAAGTATGAAGTATGAAAGTATCCCCTATTTGAAATCACAATTTAACATAATGCTCTGAACTAGTTGTCTACAAAACTATTCATGCACATATGAAAAAGCTAGAATACTAAATTAGTTTCAGACATTATCACATTGAGAAAAACTTTTAATCCTAGGAAATAACTATACATGAAATGTATAAATGAAAATATACACAGGAGGACCCCACAGGAATTCAGTTATTACAACAAAAGCCGAATACTACAGTGCTTTTTAAGGAATGGCTCTAGCAATTTCTCCAAATAATATTTACTTTAAATAAAGTCACTGAATCCACTTGTAAATTATTTCCCTTTGGCTGTCTCATTATTCAATATGCTTTCAAGGAACATGATGATGAAAGAAGAAAAATACCTCTTTCTAACATAACCATACTGGCAAGAACATCAATATTATCAGTATTCAAAGAATGTTTTGGCAGGTTAAACCTTCATAAAAAGAAGGAACAGTATCTAATCCAAGATGTCAAAATAGCAATAGTACTTCTCATATTATGTGCAATATGATTGTTTGTTTCTAAAGAAGAAAAAAACTTCAAAAAAAGATGTCAATATCGTCATGTGTAAATTTTAGGCAAAGGCAAAAAATTCTTCAGAAAAGCACATAAAGAATGATAAACATGTTTAAAAGAAAAAGGCTAAGAGCACAGCAGGTCTCAATGTTCAAAGAGATTTATGACATGTGCCACTGCTCTTCTGGGAGGTTAACAATATATTTCAACATTTGAGGCAGAACAGTATTAAGAAACAGAAGTGGATCAATAATTAGTACTAAGAGAAGAAAGCTTGAAAACAGTTTGCTTATTCTAATTCAGTCCTTGATTTCCTTGTGTAATAATAGCTAATACTTAATTTTACTTTAAGATTTTTGATAATCTTACATTATTTTCACGGTATAATACTCTCAGCATACTCTTTAGGATTTGAATTGCATCTGAAATTACTGAAGGACATCAAGGGACTAATGTTTGTTCAGTATCAGTTCAGATGTGCTGTCCTCCAAAAATAATAAAATGCAGCATTTCATAAAATACTACTTTCCATTCTCAGAAGATAATGCATGCATTGATGATCTTATAGTGGATGGGAAAATTTATATAAACTTATCCAAAACTTAGAAAATATGTATTTGACTTTAAATACTCATTTCCATTACATGAAGCAGAAATCTTGGTTTAATCTCGTATTACTTTCTCATGCTTAAAACTTTTCTAATTGCTTTTCTTTTAAAAATATGTAGTTCCTATCATATTTTACCTTTTTCCATATGTCTTCCCTTCCTGATCACTGATTCTTCTGTCCTTGATCTTTTTTTAACCTGGGTACATTTAACTTTTAATTGCTAAATGTCCTTTGGATCAAGAGGTCATGGGGTTATTTATACTAGCAGGATGAGCTCCATCTATCAATATCCTGAGGAATCATAGCATGGTAGAGCTGGAAGAGATCTCAAGGTATCATGTGGTTGAGCTCTACGGCAGTAGGAACAAGTGGCTGACTAATCTTAATGTTCTTCTTTTTTGATTTTTTAAGATGATCAGAGATTTTGATCATAAATATTCTATCACAGCTGGCTTAATAGAGAATCTTCTTAATAACAAGTAAACAGACATAGAGTAGAAAGAAAACTGGATGAAAGAAGGGTTCTGACCTCAGTACTATTAATTACTGTAAAATATAAAACAATTTATTTGATTACTCTGAGCATCAGGTTCCTCATACAAATAGAGATAATGCTACCTAACTTACAAAGTTATTATAAGTGTTCTGAAACCTGGAACAGAACTATAAATATAATATAGTATTAAAATGGGAACACAAGACAGTTGGGTGTAAAGAGCCTGCACTCTGTAGGCACATTAAGTTTCCAATCCCATCTCAACAATTCAGTAGCTGTGCGATACAAAGTTTTAAACCTCTCTGAGTTCAGTTTAGAGGACAATGGTAAATTAATATGTCTACCTCATTTAGTTGTTGCTGTGGATTATAGGAGTTTAATGGACTGGATATGATGTAGCATTGCACAGACCCTCAATAAATGTTAACTATCAACTCCCCATGAGGTTTCCAGACTTCTGCTGTGTGGTCCTACTCTCATAAATATTTCAAGTGCACATGTAGAACTTTATGAAAAACAGAATAATCACAAAATACATAAACTTTTCTTTCCAACCAAGATTCATTAAGAAACAAGAATTTCTTAATCAGCCTCGCTTTGAAAAATGGAAAGAAATGAGGTAGAGCTTCCTTAAAAAAACAAAAAAAACTCTTCCAAAGAAAAAAGTTTGTAATAGAAAGTGAAAAACATCACTAAATTGTGAACTCCTTAAAGGAGAACATGTCTTGCTCATCTTCATATTTAGGAAGCCCTCAAACATTTCTTGGATGTCTACTTGAAGAATCACTGATCTCAGAAATTAAGAAATGAAAGGTTCAATCAGATTTCATTTAGATATCAGATTAAGAAAGTAAAGATGATCTTTATATAATAAAGATAAAACTAAAGAAATGTGGACAAATTTTTGCAAGAAGACTGTACATATCTGATTTAGATAAAATACATTTATAATAATATTACATACCAAAAAATCTTACGGAAGCATAATAATGGGAACACCTGGGTGGCTCAGTCAGTTAAGCACCTGCCTTCGGCTCGGGTCATGATCCCAGAGTCCTGGGATCAAGTCTCACATCGGGCTCCTTGCTCAGCGGGGAGCCTGCTTCTCCCTCTGCCTGCCACTCCCCCTGCTTGCTCAGTCTCTGACAAATAAATAAAATCTTAAAAAAAAAAAAAAAAAAGCATAATAACGCTTACCTTGTTATGTATAAAAACAATCCTTAAGTCAGGCTTAAGTATACCATAGCTTATGAGGAGATCCTGGACCTTTTTTATTTCATCTTTACATTTTTTAGCAGTTGAGTAGAACTGCTTTCTTACAGGTAGATTCTTAAACAATCTTAAAGCAGTTACAGTTGTACCTGTTGGCAGATTAAGAGGAAAGCACATTTAGATGTGAAAAGAACTTCACAGATCTTCAAATCTATATACACCAGTATTTAACCCCTTCTATCACCTGTGTCTATTTTCTCTTTTTTAGGTCTCATAAAGCATTTGTTTTGCAAGAAAATATTTCTGAAACTATTGTTTATTCCTGTAATCAACACATGAATTACCAATTAATACACAAAATTTCCTGTCCAAAAAGGATCTGGGGAAGCCATTAATTATAAGCCACAACCTGTTTTCAGAGATGTCAAAATGTGACAAAACATGCATCTCAGAATTGACTAAGATATATTATCTGAGACCTACAGTATTCAAGTTACATATAAATGCTTATTCAATATCATCATGTGGATGTCCCAAAGCCACTTCAAACCAACTACACCCAGACCTGAACTCATTATTTTCCTCCTTGAGTCTGATACTTATACCTATTCTCTTTCTCATATAACACTGACATCAACAGTTTCCAAAGGCATATATTCTAGCTTTAACTGATTCTTCCCTCTACCTCTTACTGTATAAGCCTTCTAGGCCTATCTATTCTATTCTAAAAATCTCAAATTTATGTCAAGTCCCTTTCCTTCCTTCAAAACTCAGTTCAAGATGACACTTCTTATAATAAGATATAATTCATGGTATTATAATGTTCTGCTGGTTAATTTTGTAAATAACATGATATTTGCCCTCTACCTAATAGGTTTCAGTGGCTCACTGTTGGCTATAAGGTATAAACTTCTACTTTCAGTTCTAGAACTTTCATTTGGTTCTTTTTTAGAGTTCCATTTCTCTGCTGAAATTCTCAACCTTTTTACCAATTTTGACCATCTTTTCCTCTGAATTCTTTAACATAGTTGTTTTAAGTTCTTGTCTGCTAATTCATACATCTAGGTCATGTTTGTGTTTGCTTATACTATTTTTTTCTCTTGATTATAGATTCCATTTTCTTTGTTTCTCAATATTTTTGTTTTTGCCAGACCTTGTGTACAAAAGAAATAAATACTGAAGTAGATAATATTTTCCCCCAGAGAAGGCACTTCATTTCTTCTGTCAAGCAGCTAGAGTGACGAGAGGATCTCTTCAATATAATTAGGAATGTATCTGGGTTGGAGCTGAGCTGTCCCTTTATTTAGCTCCAGTTCACGTCCAGTTTCAAATGTCTTAAGGATGGAATCAGGTCTTTTCCTCTAGCAAGGCTTTGGGATCCAAGCACTGCAAGAGTTTAAGATCTTTGTCTCTCTATCTCAGTCCCAATTTTCTTTATCACTGCTTACTCAGCAAAGATCCTGATGAGATTTGGCATCTGGGAGGAAACCAGCTCTGTGTTTGACGATCCCATCCTCCAATCTGTCATGTCAGCTCACATGTGGCTGTTAAAAGTTCAGCTGGTTTCTTCAAGGTCCATAAAAGATCCCTTATCCACAACAGAGACCACCTATGCCTCCAGACTCAGTTAATGCTCCCAGGGATGCAAGTAGCCACCAGTCTCTTCTTGTCTAGGAAGGGGTTGTCTTTCTCTTGAACTTAGTTCATTTAACTTCCTTCCCAACTCACCCAAGTTTTCATTTAAATTCCAGTTAGTTAACACACAGTGTAATATTAGTTTCAGGTATAAGATTTAGTGATTCATCACAACACATGCCCTCTTTAATAGCCATCATGCATTTAACCCAACCACCTACCCACCTCCCCTCCAGCAACCCTCAGTTTGTTTTGTACCAGCAACCCTCAGTTTGTTTTGTATAGCCAAGAATCTGTTTTATGGTTTGCCTCTCTTTTTTCCCATGTTCATCTGTTTTGTTTCTTAAATTCCACATATGAATGAAATCATATGGTATTTGTCTACTTTGTGACGTAGTTCTTCAATGGGTTTAAAAAAAAAATTGAAGTTTTTAAAAGTATGTGCTCTTTCCCTTCACCATTCCTCTCTTGCTGCAAGGTTAAACGCCCACCCATTCTTACCTACCATCTTCAAACTCAAATGAAAACTTTTCTGAAGAACTCCCTAACCTTCCTCTAGGCAACTGATGGCTTCTATTTGCTGTCATTACTTAGTTAGTCATCTGTATTCCCCACTATTCTGTGAGTTCCTTTAACTCATTTGTGTTCTCCACTAGCTGTGACAAATATAATGGCATAAATAGTGGCTGTGGACAGATGGTGAGAAGGAAGGCAGGCAAAAATCAATAAAGCTAAATATAAATGTATTTATGAAAAGAAAAGATACCTCTTGGTTTTTAAATGAAAGATCACACTATAATCTATATATTGATAAACTATTGCTTCAGCAGCTAAAAATGTTCTCTTAGAGCAATTGAGAATTACCAATAAGCCAAGATTATATATGTTTGAATAAAACTTAATGATGGAAAACTTTGCTGATTCTAAATGAAATGTGTATCCTTAAAAAAAGTACCAAGTAATACTGGCCAATAGGGAGGAGGCCCTAGTATACTATCATATTTTACAAGAGAACTGCTCACCTCTCTAACTTTAGCACATTCTACAAACACCAGAATTAAATTGCAGTCCTATAGTATGGCTGTTATATTTTTACATGACCCTATGTTATGCCATTTATAAAGGCAGCTATTTATATTCCTAATGTAAAGATGTATGGTTGCTTGAATATATCAAACTTTTCTTAAACTATTTAAGGAGAAAAACTGCATATTCTCCAGATGAAAAAAATCTTTCAATACATGCACAATCATACCCAACAGGGATTTTTACAAAGAACACGATGCTCTACTCCAATAACAGGGTAAGGAAAGGAACTACACTGATTACTTTAAATATACTACTTTTGGTATCGGAGAAATTCCTAAGGCAGAAGTACTAGGAGGTGTTAAAAGAACTTGTCCAGGAGGGTAAATCAGTTTAGAAAGCTTATACTGATTAGGGTAAAGGAAATAGAAGTGATGACAGAAAAAAGACAGGATTAAAACAAATAATTTAGTAACTTATTGGTAAAATAATTTAAAAGCTGAGGACTTTTTACATTTGTTAATTTTTAAAATGTCTTAAAATAGAAGTGAACAGAAGGGTAATTTAAAATGACATATTATTAAGCACATATATCATTTTAAATAGCTACATTAACCCATAAAACAAATACCTACACCCAGAAAAACCAGAACTGGAATCTCCAGTCAACTATTTTTAAACACTTTAAATATGTTTTTTTAAAGGGGTAACAAATTTTCCAATGCCTAAAAAAGATTTTGTTGTAAGCTGTCCCTGCATCTACAGTTAGGCTGTCTACAGGTGTCATCATCCGATCTATCGGATGACATGAGGAGTAACTGCTAAGCAAGGATGTTCACACCACTGCAGAAATTAATCTATAAGAACCCTAAATGAAGAACCCTTACATAGAAAATATTTAAATGGAAGTTGAATGACAGCTGTTGGTGAAATGTGAGTCTGTGATTCAATCACTCAAAAACTATCAGCCCTGGGCAATATAAATGTAAAAGGCTTTTGAAAGTATTTCCAGATTTCTATAAAATGTCCATCTATAGCAATTTGAAACTAAGAGCTTTATTCTTTGTTGCTTTCCTAGCCAATCAACTATAATTAGGAGATAAAAATGAATCATGAAAGGCAATTACTAGTTTCACAACTACTGACCTTCCAAGTGTATTGTTTCTTAAGAGGAATGTGCAAAATAAGGCTCATTTGACTGCAGAAATTCTTTAATATGCACACCTAGTCTCAGTGAAAGTAGAAGACTTAGTCACCAAAAAAAAAATCAATCAGCAAATGGGCAAAGATCAGAGGGATTCCATATTTAAGTATTGCTATTTCATAGTTCCCACAGAGATGAACATAGGAAAGTATGAGAAGAATGAGTGATGCAGAGCAACAGGCCATCCAGATTAGACTGGCTACTTCTAAGATAAAAATAAATACATTTAAGTTTTAAAAGGTGATTAGATTACTTCAAAGTACCCTACAGATAGCCACCCAAATAGCTCCTAATGGTTTCTTAATTTGAACTCCTAAAAATTGGGAGTCAGAGCATTTCTAGAAAGGGACCATACTAAAAAAAATGCCTTCTCTTTCCTAACCTTCAATACATAAAAAGAATCACAGTCTATTATCTTAATTAAAATATGTACAATATTATTATACATCAAATTAAACAGCTAGTAGACTTAAGCTCATTTTAATTAACTGAATAAATGAGAAAGAGTGTATTTTCTTAAGAGTTCTTACTAACTCTTTTGTGTGGATATAAAAATATTACTCTAAATAAGCAGGAATAATCAGTAACTAATTTGAAGATTTATAAAATAATAGAAAAAGTGAATTTGGTATCAGTATTAAGATAAAATAATAGAAAAAGTGAATTTGGTATCAGTATTAAGATAAAATAATAGAAAAAGTGAATTTGGTATCAGTATTAAGATATAAGAAAATATATATATTTTAAAGATTTTGTTTATCTGAGAGAGAGAGAAATCATGTGGGGGTTGGGGCAGAGGGAGAGGGAGAAGCAGGCTCCCTGCTGAGCAGGGATCCCCGATGCGGGCTCCATCCCAGGACCCCGAGATCATGACCTGAGCTGAAGGCAGATGCTTAACCAACTGAGCAACCCAGGAGCCCCACAAGAAAATATATTTCAATGAAAAAAGATGGTAATCATTAAAAAAATAAATCCAATAATTTAATATTAAAATTGAAAGAAAAAAACTACAGAAAAAATATAGTACTTTAATAAATTACAAGGGACACAAAATTTAAAAAATGAATTTATGATACAAATTTTATTGCAAACAGCAATAAAAAAACACGGGGACTTTCAGATCAAATAATTCTTTTGAATATGACTCTAAAGAGTTCATATCTTCAACATTTTCTCAACTTTAAACATTCTATTACCAGAAGTTAGCAATATGAAAAAAATTAAGGGAGATACATGAAACTCAAGCCTGAAGAGATTTTCTTTTTCCTTATAAGTAAATAGTAAAGGAACTTAAAAACATAAGATGTCAATTAAAATGTAATAAAATTACAGAAGTGTATAAAACACTAAGAAATGTATTACAAATAGCAACAATAACTAATACATTTAATTGCTTCCAATAATACAGAAAGAGGAAGTAGGTAAGGATATTAGATGAAACAACATTAACAATGGGTGGACAACTGATAAAACTGAATAATGGGAAAAAAAAAACTGAACAATGGGTACACTATTCTATTTACTTGCACATACATTTGAAGTTTTCCATAAATAAATATATTTTAATTATTTATATAATCATAGTATCTTGATGGTATTGTTTATTACCATGATTACCAAATCAATAATGTTTTAGGCATTTCAATAAAATATCATCCTTCACAGATAAAGAAAACACTAGTGATCCAACAATAGTAATACTGTTCTTACAGTTTTACAGAAGGGTGACTAATCCATATTTTTGTCCTAAGGCTTTTACACAGTTCCTCTTGAGAACCATTCCAAGTATTTAAGAGATTGGTGACTAAAGTAAGGGGTGAATATATTCACTTGGAAGTAAACTAGCCTTTATCAAGACCAAACCTGAAGCAGCACGTTTGAATTTAAGGAGTAACAATGTTTTAAAAAAAAGACAGGAAAGGCAAAGATACAAAGCTACTCTCTTACCTTGACCAAGATGTGAAGGTTTTTGAGAAATTATGTGGCCGCTGCCATCTAAAACATACTGGGTGCTAAAATGATCAGAAGCTGTCCTTGTAGTAATTAAAACCTGGAATATATAAAAAAAACAAATACTAATAAAATTATTATTTTAGATACTGCAGTGGACTCATTATCAAATTAGATTTAAAATAATTATACATTTACTTAAAACTGAAAAAAAAGTTTTACTTGTTAAGCTCTTATGATCACTTCTCTTGTAATATTCCCTTAGAGTTATAATAATAATAGGCCACTGTATATTTTTTTAGGGGGCAAATTACTGATCTTTATTTTGAGTATTTAACTTCAATTAAAATGCTCATACACAAATCAGTGTATCTGAAATGGCTATTTGTGTTGTGTAACTTACATCTGTAAAATCAAATATTTTAATTGCATTAGGGAAACTTGCTTTTTAAAAGACAGTTCCCATAAATTTGTTGGTAACATGAAAAATCCTTTTGTAAAATGATCATTCCCTCCTTTTTTATATTCTGTATAAAACTACACTTCTGTCTTTCAAGCTAATGGTTCAAAGGAATAAAAAATATAAATCATACACATATATATTTATGGACAATTTTTTTCTTAAAACAAACGTTTGAATTATTTAAATGTAAATTTTCTATTAATTGAAAAACACTTTAGCATTAAGGCATGTATGTATAAGAAAGGATTTCACTGACCATGAAAATATTTCCTAAGATGTTAGGGACAGAAGTAAAAGTTTAAGAATGTCTGCATTCAGGGTGCCTGGGTGGCTCAGTTGGTTAAGTGTCTGCCTTCAGCTCAGGTCTGATCCTGGGGTCCAGATTTCTAGCCCAGCGGCAGGCTTCCTGCTCAGCGGGGAGTCTGATTGTCCCTCTTCCTCAGACCCTCCCCCTGGCTAGTGCTCTTTCTTGGTATCTCTCTCTCTCAAATAAATAAATCTTTTTTAAAAAATAAGAATGTCCGAATTCTTGGGGCACCTGGGTGGCTCAAGTGTCTGCCTTCGGCTCAGGTCATGATCCCAGGGTCCTGGGATGGAGCCCCACATCGGGCTCCCTGCTCCGCAGGAAGCCTGCTTCTCCCTCTCCCACTCCCCCTGCTTGTGTTCCCTCTCTCGCTGTGTCTCTCTCTGTCAAATAAATAAATAAATAAAATCTTTAAAAAAAAAAAAAAGAATGTCTGCATTCTTCTGAGCTACCCTCACCATCAGCTTTTTGTTTACCTATTTTTTGAGATGTGTGGCAGAGTCTAACAATAGTAAACCATTCCACTGTCAGAAAATACCATAGGTGGGAGTGGGGATGTTCTAGGAAAGCACAGTGGATTCAGAAAAGGGTAGCCTCCTCACACATTTTGTGAGCAATGATGATGCAAAATTGGAGCAATCTTTCTTGGCCATTCTTGGACTCAGTGGAGCTGACTGTAATTTAGGAAGAAGCCACAAAGACCCAGCTCCACTGCTGGAACTCATCTAGATCCAGTTGGATCTACACTGGATTTGATGGTTCTGCCACCCAGTTCTAACCACGCACTGATTTACAATAGGCCATGTGGCTATAGAACATGTGGCTACCATGCAGGAAATAGCAAAGTTACCCCAAAAATGGCTTCTCTAGCTCACAATACTAGTAGAATCTATTAGATTCCCTCTGAGGTTAATGTCCATCAAATCCTTACCAGGGGCATTGCCTCAAGCTGCCATTTCTATAATAACTGTTCTTCAAAAAAGCTGCACCTAACACAGAGTTGTGAGTTTCTCTATAATCTTAAATGATTTTTCTACTTCTTTCAAAAATACATTCCGTGGTTCAAAAGCTGTATAATTTTAAAAGTTTTCCTGGTAACTAATCTTAATCTTCCCTGCTACATCCCAACTCTATTCTATCCAGTAAAGATTTTTTCTAATAAAGCTTAAAGAGTAAAAAAATTTCTTTCCTGTCTCTAATTTAATTACTCTGTGACTGTCCCTTTAAAAATAATTCTACATTTAACCAACCACTTCTCAAAAATGCCAAGGTCAACTGAATTCTATTTCTATTCTCCAAAGAGCTAGCCACCTACCCTAAAGTTGGAGTCATTGAGCAAAAGTAGCCTGGCTCTGAGTTCTTGTTAGATGGCCCTGAATAAATGATTCCTCTATCATCTTTAAGGGGAAGGCAATGATAAGATGAAGATGATGCTACTTTACAAGGTTACGCGGGTATTTGTTTTAACTACTTTCAAAGCATTTTATAGTTATTAACATGTTCATCCTTTAAACATATTAGTTAATAGTAAATATACTCCAACCTAGATGAATAAACCGATGTGCCAAAAAGCAAAATAGGATCTTAGTGGTCACACTGTAGTAATTGTATTAAAGTAAAAAATTGAATATTATTTTCCAATATTAAATTAGAATGTGTAGGTTACTATGAAAATTTATTTCGATAGGAAATGCTTTGCAACTCACTGTGAAAGACAGTGAAGGATAACATATAAGCATGTTTCACAAATTCATGAAATACAATGTGCTCTTCAGAGGAAGGAATTGTATTTCAAGAGTTCATTTCATCATATGACTCTGTGTCCTGGGCAGGAAAACTTTTTTTGGACTAGGCACAAGCTTAGAATGTGTTAGCGCTGCAGCAACTAACACATGTGTACCTATAGTAACTCCACCAACAGATTCATCTCTAACATTACAAATTATTACTTGTGCTTCTTACTAGAGACATTAATGAACTGTGGCAGAATGAATCTGGTGGTGTCAAGAGAAGAACTAAAGAAATTTATTTTAAGAATTTTAAAAAGAGTTTATTTTAAAAGGTAAAGTTTTAGAAGTTCTCAGAGAACCTTATAGGTTATATTAGCTATCAGTTATTAAAAACTGATTTTTTGGGGGCGCCTGGGTGGCTCAGTCGTTAAGCGTCTGCCTTCGGCTCAGGTCATGATTCCAGGTCCTGGGATCGAGCCCCGCATCGGGCTCCCTGCTCCGCGGGAAGCCTGCTTCTACCTCTCCCACTCCCCTGCTTGTGTTCCCTCTCTCGCTGTGTCTCTCTCTGTCAAATAAATAAATAAAATCTTTAAAAAACAAACAAACAAACAAAAAAAATTGATTTTTTGGTCCAATTATTGAGTTTCAAGGGAATAATACTACTAATACAAAGTTAAATTACATAAAAGCATTTAAACTTTAAATAAGCATAATTTTTCTCAATGTTTTAGATAAAACAAAAATGTAAAACTTAGCATATATGCTGTTAATTCATGCCAAAAAAAAACCTTTCTTGGCAAAAATTCATTTAAGATAATTGTGTTAAAGTTTTGTTTTTATTTTTTTGCTGACTTTTGGATGAATACTTTGGCACAGAAACAGGATCCTGAAAACTAAGGTCAATGGTCTTCATGATTCAGGTGAAGTATCAGTTTTGCCTGGATCACTGAAATGTCTTTTTCTTTCTGTGAGGATGTCTGCCTGTGCATAGTTGTACACTAATATAAGAGCTCTGATGTCAGAACCTTCTCCCGGATAATTCACTGTGGGAGACTAACAACAGGGAAATCTTAGCTCTGGCTTTTTCCTTCCAACAGAGTTCTATTACCTGTGAGGAGGCTGCAATTAGAAAGCAGGATACCCTACTGCTTCAAAAATTCCTACGCCCATTCTAATTAAAGCTCTACCACCATGGCTTTAAGTAACATAGGATGTACCCTACAGTATGGAACAGGAGGGAGAAACCATCAAAATGATGGTAGGGGCTTCCTCCTATCTTTTTACAGCTATGGGGGCCCACAATTAAGGAAGTCCCAACTTTCATATTCAAAACAGAATGGCATAGCTTCTCATTCTGCCCCCTTTAAGCCATGCAGGTTTAATGAAATGTAAAAAAACGAACCTACAAGAAGTAGTGCAGAGGACCATAGGGGAAGGGAGAGAAAACTGAATGTTAGAAATCAGAGAGGGAGGGGCACCTGGGTGGCTCAGTTGTTAGGCATCTGCCTTCGGCTCAGGTCATGATCCCAGGGTCCTGGGATCGAGCCCCCTGCTCGGCGGAGAGCCTGCTTCTCCCTCTCCCACTCCCCCTGCCTGTGTTCCCTCTCTTGCTGTCTCTTTGTCATATAAATAAATAAAATCTTTAAAATCAGAGAGGGAGACAAACCATGAGAGACTCTTGACTCTGGGAAACAAACTGAGGATTGCGGAAAGGGAGGTCAGTCAGCAGGGGGATGGGATAACTGGGGGATGGGCATAAGGAGGGCACGTGATATGATGAGCACTGGGAATTATACGCAACTGATAAATCACTGAACACTACATATGAAACTAATGATGTTGGCTAACTGAATTTAAATTAAAAAAACGAACCTACATATCATGTTATCCCATCAAAAAATTATGTATAATGAACTTGATGGATCAGAATAATACCCAGCACAATGTAAGCACTTAAAAAAAAAAAAAGGATAAATGAATCAATAAACATGAGTGTTATGCAGAGGATGGCTGGCACCTCTGTTAATTCTTCAGAGGGACAAACAAGAAAAATAATGAACTTATGCTATAAAATAAAGACTTTTTGTGAGAAATAGAAGGAATTTACCTAGAAATGTGTTATTAGGAAGGATTTCCCAAAAATGTTGAGTGGTCTGCATAAACTTTGAAAAGTAAGGTACAATACTGCTTGCCAACAAGGAAATGAACAAGTCTGATGATATTATCAACTTTACGATAGAGGTACATACTACTTTTCACATTCAAGTCCAGAGTGAAAATAACTTTCATCTGTATGGCACATGACTGTATTCAAGATACCTCATATGTATTATTTCATTTGCCCCTCAAATCATGATTATCCTCACTAAATGATTGTCAGAAAAGTTGACCTGCTTTATGCCTTTGGCCAAGTCTCTTATTCAAACACTTGGTACTGAGAGGGACGCCTGGGTGGCTCAGTTGGTTAAGCGACTGCCTTCGGCTCAGGTCATGATCCTGGAGTCCCGGGATCGAGTCCCGCGTCGGGTTCCCTGCTCAGCAGGGAGTCTGCTTCTCCCTCTGACCCTCCTCCCTCTCATGCTCTATCTCATTCTCTCTCTCAA